AAGTAGGAAAGTTAAATACCATCACTGTTAATTTCTGGCAGTACCCTGATAACTGAACACAAAATACATGTTTCTAAATCTGCAACTATAATCCATTTTGGAAGCAAGGACAAGGTAAAAATAAGGCTCATGGAGCATTTGGGACACTGGCCTGTCTCCCAAAGACTGCCCTCCAAAATCTTGGACACAGCTCAGACCATCAGCCTAGCATAGCAATATATCTCTCCTTACACTACAGTGTTGTGACTTTTGAGATACTTCTGAGGAACTACCTGTACTGTTAGGGTAATCCTGAAGTAGTGTATCTTTTGTAAAATCTAAATATTTTCACATAAATTATAGCCTATTTGGCATAACATCACAACTGTGTTGAGAGCTGAGAGAAGATTTTGGAATGAGAATATCCTGATGTCACAAGACTGGTGTCCAGAACATCTGGACTATCAATACAGTCATAAATTCAGTTAAACCAGGAATAACAGAAATGGGTAGCAACAAGTATATCACACCGCCAGAATCTGTCTCTATAGTAGGTATGGAACTGTACACATTAAACAAACAGGATCTTACTTACTGGATATCCAAGTAAAGAACCACATTTTGATTCTGGTATCAAAAATCATGCAGAACCAAATATGGCTTAGTAAGATCTGCCCACACACAGATTTCGTCAGTAGATGCCACAGGAAACCCAGTGCTCCTCAGTTCACAAAATAACAGACCTCAGCTCCGCTGAGAGCAGTCAGCAACAGAACCAGCATAATCTGTTGACGAAGACTATCAAAATCCATTTAATTCTCCCATTGCACACACATGCAAACTTTTGCACTGTTGCACTTTCTCCCATTGCATCTTTTCCACTGCTTTGAAACTCAGGTCTTAGACATGAGACCAAACCACAAGGTTACAGAGAACTTCCACAGAGGAGCTGCTAACTTGAATCCCCTTACCTGATGCCAGCTAGAGAGCCACTACAACACTGCAGATCTGCAGGTACACACTGATGCTACAGGCTTGCGTGACCAAGTCCTTTGTAGCCACGTTCAATGGAAGCAAGAAGAGTAGCAGCAGAGAAGCCTGCCAGGCTTAAAAATCCAGGAGCCTAAAGGTGCCTTAAACACTTAGAGGCAAGGAGCCATGTGAAAAGCAGAAGTGGTTCTCTTTTTCAGAACACGGTGCTAAATTATGTGGAGATCACAGGGCTGAGAACTGTGGAGGGAGGTGAGAAAGGAGGAAATATGTTGTCAATGATAATGAAAAATCATAATTTTCTGTGCAAATGGGCAGTTCAAGCAAGAAGTAACTCCCTTTCAGACTACTTTAGTAGAGGGTTGGGAGTGACTCAGACAGCAAACCCTGATTCCTAAGCGGGGGGAGCTGTGGTGAACTCTTCAAACGCAGTTGGCTTGTTTTCCCCTTTCAGATTCAACTGTAACGCTGAAATTCCTGTTATTTGGAACTGGTGCCTGGGGCCTTGCTGTGCTGGAACTCCCTCCCAAAAAGCCCAGGCAGCGAGAGAGCAGTCAGGGATGCCAGGGCAGCCATGACATGATGCTCTAAAAGCAAGTAGCAGGTTTAGTTGGGGTCTAACCTGTTTGCGAGGCCAGTCATGTTTGCTTAACTGCTTCTGGCAAGGTTAACTGGAACACTATGACCTCCCTGCTCAAGATCATACGCTGTGATGAGTGAAAAATTAAGTTTATTGCAGAATCCTAAACTACTATCAGAAACTTGAAGTTTTAACACACTCGAAACCACTGTTGCTCTTACTGAGATCTAAAATACAAACTTGCTCTCTCTCTGGATATAAGTTCTCTCCTATCTGATCTCAAGGGACATGTTTTCTAAGCTTCTAGTACTTGCTTAAAACTGAAAGTCATGCCTGGATTTCTTAACCTTCTATTTTGGCTGCATAATTTTATCTTTAAGCTTCATTATACCAGGTGAAACTCAACCCTTCCTACTAGAAAGTCAGTATTTGCAAACCACTGGTAGAGCAGGTCCAACCATTTGCCCTGACTGAGAACCAGAATGTGACTGTGACATCCCAGGAGCCGCTGAGTGTTCCAGCTGTGAACTTGGTATGAGCAGGGCTTTGACTGACAGCCTACTATCTAGTCCAGATGAAAGGTTTGTGACTCAATTTTGCCTGCTCCTTTTAGCTTAAAATGGCGAAGACCCACATGTCTAAAATTCAGAAGCAAATTTCTGTCTTTCTCAAGATCACAGTTGTGATGAGGTTTGTCAGGGAAGTGAGTGGAACTAATAGATGGATAAAACCAGGTAAGTTTTGGGGAATACAAATCCTTGCTTGAGTCTTGCTTATGAGCACAAGTGTCTGTTGCCACTGTGGTTTGCTCCTGGATCCCAGGTTTTATATCTGGTTTTTAGAGCCAAGACAAGACTTTACGTTGTCCTAAAGCACAGCACATGGTTTCTCCCTATCCTGGGCAGACCTGAAAATCTCTGCCTGGCTGGCCTGGCCTGAGATGCTCATTGAGATGGCAAAATCTTCTTGCTGAAGCTGATAACTGGACAAGAGGCACGTGCTGCAGAGAGCTTTCCAAACCCTGTTTGTGTTTTTGCGGGGAATGTAAAACTACTCCTGGAACCAAGGCATCCACAGGGTTTATCCCCAGGTAGGAGCACACTGCCAGAGGCCTGCAGTGGGGCCGTGGTGTTATAACCCGCCTTGATATCCCAAAAGAAGAGTTCTGTCACCGGGTTTGCAAGCCAATGCACACAGGGTCAAGGTATTTCTTTTATTTCATGTCTGCTCCGAGATGAGCACTAAGTGGCAATTCCACAAAGCTAACACACCACACAGAACTTCAGTGTATTTACACACTTCAGACTACATGGATACACATTTACTGCAGTGACTACTGGTTAGTTGCTTATCACTTTGTCCCTCATTAGTTAGTTATATTTAAATCAGCCTCACTTGCTATGTAAATTAGCACTGCATGTTCCTTGTGGGCACGGGGGCAAGTCTTCCTGGTCTCAAATTGAACTGGTGATCACGATCTCCCCCAGCCACCTTTACCTTTCCCCCAGTTACCACTGATTTTCACCAACTTCATGCTTCTCTGGCAATTACTCAGCTTTCAGTGCCTTCTGGGCAGGATGTTCCCTTTTTATCCACCTTTTAGTTTCTTCAGGGGCACAGTGGTCAGTAAGGCCTGCATCACTTATACAATAGACCCCACATTTAGTGGTTCCCCCTTGGAAGATTTAAATGCAGTGTTATCTAAATCTAACTTGAATAGTGTCACTACAACCTAGGCACTTATTCAAACGTAGGGTTTTACACAGGTAACAGTCCTGTGTAAAACAGAGAGCAGCCCAGGAGCCCCTCCACTTCCCTCTCAGACATCCTCTCCTATCCACCACACCAGCTCTCTCAGAAATCCACTCCTAATATTTGCTCAAGTTTTTGTGTGCTGTCTTTACACCCAGCCAGATGCCTGATTTTTGTGGCTCCCCTACATGTGCTCTTAACCCTCTTCAGCCCTATCTACTCACCCAGCTTGAAATGAGCCCAAGAACACCAAGTCCAGCAGAGACCATGAATGTGAAAAGCCTATTTAAGAGACCCCCGGGATGGGTAGTTTTCTAAACACAAGAACTGCTTCTGCCCTCAACAGAGACCAAATAGTTCTTGAAGCAAAAAGGAGTGTTTTTTCAGCATTTTGGGCAGCCTCAAGAGAGACACATGTTAAGGAAAAAAACAAATCCTATCCTTCACACCTGCCTGAAGACACAAGTAAACTTCTCGGTTACCACCTGAGATTTGTTAAGGCTACTGTAGAAACTACACTTAGGTCAAAACTTTCCTTAAGTCAAAAAAAAGCCAGTTACAGCCTCTGTGGGATAAACATGGAGCATCACCTGGAGGACACCTTTAATTTGGGTGCCCAGGCAGGATTTGTAAGTGTACAAAACATCACTTGACTGCTTGGTGAGATGCTGAGGAAAGGGATTTTTTCAGCACTCCTCCTGCACAGGCACCCCAGGGCAATGCCAGGTTTGTCTCCTACATTCTTAAAGCTACATTTGTTCTTCTGTGTTTTAGGTGTGCAACAGCTGCATTTTTCCTTGGAACAAGGTGTAATAAAGGGCAAGAAATCCCAGTCAGTGTCCCCTGAAACCAGGGGAATATCTTCAAGGCTTGCTGTCCACCTAAGGCCTTGAGTAAGATCTTCTGACATGCTTCAGCTAGGAACTTAACAAAAGCAAACATGTAAAACAATGTATAGTTCAGAAGTGATGGCTTGGTCTTAAAGGAGAAATATACATATATATATTATTTTTCTTTTTATAAGTAGAAAAATGAAACATTTAATTATTTGCAAACAGACTTTAATAAAATTTCTGTAGAACCACTCTTGCCAGAGCAAACATATCAAACTGTTTAATCACTTCCCATACTGACAGAAATGCACACAGCATCTTGTTTGCAGGAAAATCACTTTTCAAGGGACACCAATTTTGAAATTAGGCAGCTGAACAGCTGCTCATTTCTTTCTTCTCTAGTGCCTTGGTCACCACTGCTTTTCCCAGTACTCTTCTAGGGAAAAGCAGGGGAGAGCTTCATTTTAGATTAAAAAACATTTGTTTTTTTCAAGAGCCTTCCCCAGAGACCTGGCAAAGGCACCACCTAGTAATAATACAGCAGGTAGTTCTCCTCCTGCCTTTGGAAAGCTCTCTTTAAAGCCTGACTAATGCATTAGAAGGGATTATAGGATTAAAGAGCTCGTAAAGGGTAGAGACCCACTTCTAGATGACCAGTAATTATTTATTTCAAGGATAGTAATGCTGCAGTGAAAACGTAGAGTGCTTTCAAAGCCTCAGAGTTAGTACATCCAGAGATGCACAGAAGGTTGATCAGCTCCCCGGACACCCACTCAGGGAATCCACAAACATTTTTGGTACAAGCAAATTCTCTATTAAGTTAATTAGCTTTATGTATGAAAAAGTTCAGATTAAGAAGAGGATGTTGCTTTGATGTTGCTCTGCAGGCAGTCACCACTCATGAAATGATCTTCACTTCAGGTTTGGACTCTTCCAGGGCTCTCATTTCCTCATGCACTTCAGTACTCCAGTAAATGTCGTACAAACTACACCCAAACAAAAAGGCAAGCTGGTTTAGTGAGCATCCTCCCGTTAAGGAAAGAGAAAGACACACAAATGGACAGTATGGAAAGATCATGTAACAGGAAGGGCCCCGTCCAGGTTCGACAGTCTGGCCCAACAGCCAGAAACATGCCTCACAACACGGGACACTACTACTCCCTCCCCAGCACCACCTTCTCTTTGTTCTTGGGCCCTATGGACAAAAGCGGTTCAAGACACTGTGGTCACATCATTTGGAAGAGACAAGGAGTGTTCTGCAGCATGCAGATGGCATTTGAACCCCCCTGGGTCACCAGCTGCTCTCAGGTGCAGTTCCCTGAGAGCCAGTGCTTGTGCCCCCACCTCCAGCTCACTGGAGCTCACCACCTGCCAGGGGAGAATGAAAGCAGGATCACAAACATCTCTCACATTAAATGCTGCACGTAGCAGCTGGGATTCCTCACAGCTTCACAGAGCTTCCTGACGCCTTCATCACTCAGAGGGTTGTAGCTCAGGTCCAGCTCTGTGAGGGATTGTTTCGTAGTCATGATGGTGGCGAAGGTGGCACAGGAGGCTGCCGTGAGGTCGCAGTTACCCAGACTGCAGGGAGAGAGAGGAGGGAGAGGCCAGTGCAGTGAGCGATGGCTCCAGAGACCAGCCCACCCGCCCACC